ATCCACGAAGGCAAATGCTCGTGGAATGGGATTTAGAATGCTGTTGTTTTGAGGCAACCCCACACTGAGTTCCACAGTGGTTGTCGCAGTCTAGACTCCTGCCAGCAGAGCAGCAGTGTGCTTTGTTCTCCACAGCCACTCGGCACTTGTTGTTGCTTGATTGCAACTCTTTCCTGGGTGAGATGGAATCTCAGTGTTGCTCTGAATTTCATTTCTTCAATGATCATTGATGTTGAGCTTCTTTTATATGTTTTCCATTTGCATTTCTTCTCCTGAGAAATGTGTATTCATCTTACATTCCCATATTTGAATCTCATACTTGGACTTTAAGGTCCCGATATTTTTCTCTTCGTATGTTCTGAACAGAAGCCCTTTGTCTGAGTAAAGTTAGCTAAAACTGTTCCCATTTAATGGGTTTTCTTTTTACTATGCAAGCATGTGTAATTTTGATAATGTCTTTGTAGAGTAACAGAAAGTATAAGAAAATATGAAAGGTAAAACAGATGTCGTGAAACTAAAAAAAGGAAAGAACAACTGGGATGAGAGAAAAAAAGCAGAAAAGTGTGTGTGTGTGTGTGTGTGTGTGTGTGTGTGTGTAACTGATCAAATAGCTCACAGGATTAAAGAGAATGCAAGGAGGAGCAGGGGCCAAGGGTTTGATCCCCAGGCCTGCCCTCAGGCCCCGCCCCCCCGCCCCACACCTCAGGTGAGTGGAGGGAGCAATGGAGACTGGCCAATCTGATGCATGCTTGTGATCCCAGGTCTTGAGGGCTGTAAACAGCCACATCACTAGGAGTCCGATCTAGGAGAGACTCTGAAGCAGTGTAGACCCACCAGTAAAATGCATGTATGTATATATACGTAAACAGGAACAATTTTTCATCATTTATTTATTTAGTTAATCAGTATGTGGCCTTGCTCCCAAGATTATTAAAAAGCTAAAAGACATGAAAGAAGGTACTCCAATGAGCCATTCTTCAGGACCATCTTCATAACAGAAGGAACGAGTGCGATCTTAGCATTTATCATAGTTAAGAACCTCACACAAGAACACCGTGAGGTACTTAGCAATGTTTTCACTATCCTTCGACCAGCAGCGGAGAAGATTATAAGCAGTAAGCCGGCGAACAGAGTCATCATTTGTTTGCAGGGATGGAAGATCGGTCCAGACAGCAGAGCGCACATTGTCTGTGACTTCAGGAGCAAACTATGAGAAAAGAGAAGGAATTACTAATCTTGCTTGTAAATTGTGTATTTGTTTCCTTTTCGTGAAATTAGAGAATTACAGCAGACAGCATGTTCTTGGGACAAACATGACATATAAAATTCT